TAGGTCATGGCTAGGAGTTCGGGTTTTATTTTAAATACAATGAGAAGGGCCGGCCTAGTGGCTCAGTTGGTTAAGAGCTCACTCAAGAGTTTGAGCTCTGAGCAACAGCGGTTCAATTCCAGGCCCCAGCTGAGCTGCCAACAGGTGGCAGGATAGCTCAGCTAAAAAATAAATAAATAAACAAATACAATCAGAAGAACTGCAGGGTATAAGGTGGAGAGTAGCATGATCCAATTTACATGTTTTAAAAAATAAATCTGGCTGCCAGCTGGAAAAGGGACTGTAAGGGTACAAGTGGGGAGGCAGAGAGACCGGTTAAGAGACAGACTGTGCAGTGGTCCAGGCAAGAGATGATGGTAATTAGAAAAGGGTTATAAGGAAGTGGGGAATAAACAGAGGTTGGATTCGAGATTTATTTTTGACGTGTGATACAAGATGTGAATTTAACAACCATCTACCCATTGGTTGTGTGATATTTAGGGAACCACTACAGATAAATGGCCTGATGGGGCAGAAGCAACACAGTCTTCATAGCCACAAAGGCCGGGGCTGGAATCCCAAGGGCTTCCTCCACTCATTAGCTATATGATTGTGAGCCAGCTCCTTTCCTTCTGAGTACCTCCGGGAAAGAGGTAGGGAAGATGGGGGAGAGTGCCAATGACTTTGCAGACTTAAATGGAATCCTGTGTGTAAAGCACCTAGCAGAGACCCTAGCCCATGGTACAAATGATAGACATGAATGTGATGGGCCATCAAGTGTTAGATACAGACAGAAACTCGAAGGGTCTGAGGAAGGTGAGGGCACCGTAGGATGTTAGGTAACTCCTCTGACACACCACAAGCATGCAGGTGGTGGCTGGGACTGAAACTGAAACAAAGTGAGAAGGATATATTTGAAAGAGTCAAGAAAGTAGCAGCTGCCCAGTAAGCATTTCTTTTCTTCTCTATCCGCTCTCCTTCCATCTCTTTTTTCTCTCTCCCCACCCACTGCACCACACCCATTCTCCTTTCCTTCTTTCTATCATTTCATAATATTTAATGAGTGCTTGCTACATGCCAAGCATTGGTCAAGGTACTGACTGGATGTGTAACAGTACAAGTCAGACCCAGTCCCTGTCCTCACTGAGTTGACATTCTTTCAGTGGAGGAGAAAGGGACGTAAACAGACAAAACAATTGTTAAGTATTAGGAAGCAAACAAAAAGAGGAACCTACTTTAGGTAGGGCAATCAAGAATGACATCTCTGAGCAGGTGAATTTAAGCTAAGACCGAATTAAAGGAAGAAAAGAAGCTAGCCATTCAGAGAGGAAACTGCCAAGTCCCTGAGAGAGAAAAAAAGAGCTTGGTGTGTTAAAAGAAAGCAAAACATAACCAGTGTCGTTTGAGCACAATAAGTGGGGGAAGAGTGACATGAAATGAAATTGGAGAACCAGGCAGGGACCAGACCATGCATGCCAAAGTAGGAAATCTGGAAAGCCACTGAAATGATTAAACAGGGAAGTGCAATAGTTTGATTTGTGATTATTCTGGCAACAGTATGCAGAATGAACTGAGGAGGGGGGTGCAAGAAGAGAGGTGGGGAGATAGTCAGGAGGCTGCTGGAGTAGTCCAGATAAGAAAGACAGTGGAGGCGGTCTGCCAGTGGAGATGGGGAGAAGGATGTGGATTCAAAGTAAATTTTGGAGATAGAATCCATAGGTCCTGCTGCTGGGAACGAGGGAGATCTGAGGTGGAGGGGAAAGGGCAAGCGTGGAGCCTGAATCACTGAGAGAACAGTCGTGCCATTTATTGATAAGAAGAAGAATGTAGTGAGAGTAGAGGGAATCAAGTACCATTTTAGGCACAGTAAGGATGAGATATTTGTGATACAAGAAGGCAGTTGGATATGAGAGTCTGGAGCTCAGAGGAGAGGTCCAGGCTGGAGATGAAATGGAGATAATCATCAGCATAATGAAAGTACTTAAATCCATGGGAACTGATAAGCTCACCTAGGGAGAACTACAGAGAAAAAAAAAGAGAGCACAGGACAACACCCTACGGAGCTCCATTATGTGGAGATCTGGGAGGGAAGGCGCAGCAGCTGCCAGTGGTGCAAGAGGAAAACCAGTAAAGCCTGGTGTCACACAAGCTGACAGGGGAGATGGAATCTGGAGGGAGGAGTCAACTATGTCCAGTGCTGCCAAAGGCCAAGTCCTTGCTGGCTCTGGCAACATGGAGAGTATAGGTGACTCTGACAAAAGCAATTTTAAGGAAGCGGTGAAAGGTAGAAAATTATAGTGAATTAAAGAGGGAATAAGAGAGGGAATGAGGCAGTGTGGCTCTTTTGAGACATTACTTTTCGGGGAAGAGTAACATGGGGTGGTCTCTGGAAGGGAGTGTAGTATCAAGAAAAGTGTGTTTTTAGTGTAAGATTAACATACTGAGCATGTTTGCCTGATGATGGCAATGAACCAGGGGCAAGGAGATACAAGAGGAGAAGTCTTGCGAATGTAACGGGATGAGATCTAGTNAGTGGCTCAGTTGGTTAAGAGCTCACTCAAGAGTGCGAGCTCTGAGCAACAGCAGTTCGATTCCTGGCCCGAGCTGAGCAGCCGCTGAGCTGCCAATAGGTGGCAGGATGGCTCAGCTAAAAAAAAAAAGAAAAAAAAAACCCAAAAAACTGATGGTAAGAACTTATATTTATGGGCATGGAATGTACTGTTAAGAGAAAAAAGTATGTTATAAAACAAAAGGTATTCTCACGCAGGTGTATTTCCACAAGATGGTGGCAGGACAGGTCTGTAACAACTGTGCCAGTGCCTGCCTGCGCAGAACTGTCAGTTCTGGCCTTCTCTACATCAGGAAATTTATTGATCATTATGAAAATCCTAGAAATGCAGGGTCTTTTATCAAGACACATTGTCACATTAGCTGTTTTCCCACCCACAATGCAATCAACTAGATATCAAGAAGTCTTTGTGCTACAATAAGGGAGTTACGAGATATGTACAATGTTTGCCGTTCACACTGTAGCTCTAACACAAGTGAAATACATACAATACAGCTCAAATGTTCTGAATCCTTTTCTTTATTTCAGCCAACTTTGATCAGCTTAATAGATATGCAATTGGAATTGTGTGGCTGTGGCAGTAACTGTGCCTTGCTGGTCTCAAAATTAAACTCAATAATAAAATCCCAAGATGCCTTTAGGTTTGAAACAATGAAGTAAATATCTCATTTTGCCTGAAGGGATTAACTCTCTTTCGGAGAAGGAGTTACTGCTAGATTATCTTAGTATGATTATTATCTATCAAGAACTAATTATTATAGATAAAAATCGATCTGCATATATAGTGCAATTTAAAAAACTCAATATGTATTGTATGACCCTAGTAATGTAAAACTGTACATTCATACGCACAAAGAGGTATCTGAAAGACTGTCAACCATTTTAGTGAACTCTAACATTTCAGGGGATTTTTAATTTTTCTGTTTTATATGTTGCTGTATAGTGTGAACTTTTTAAAAATTAGCATCGTTTTTATAAAAAAAACCCCACAAATTAAAAACTACTTTAAAAAAAATCAAGTGCAAAAGATTTCTTTTTAAAAGGAGTTCTGATATTAGGTAGTTTTAAGGCCCACTTTAAATATTCTTTTGAATGGTTCTAAGTAAAATATTTTTAATTCAAAATAAAATATACACCAAAATAAATTAGAATCCCTTTATACAGGAACTCCATCCAGAATTATTATCTCCCTGACAAAGAGAGGATGGAGAAAGGAGTGACAAGGGTTAGCCTTTCCTCTGAAGTTAAGATTTTAACAGCAGTTTACTAGAGCTCTTTATACAACTCAAATCTAAGGATTTACACATCTCTAAAATGCACTCTTACCAGAATTACAAGGGAACCATAACAGACTCACAGAAATCTAAAATACACTCAATATTTGACAATATGATATAAATTTTCAACTCATACCACTTCATGGCAACACCTGAAATCTGTATGTACTTCTTCTAGCCTCAGGGCCCTCCTGGTAGTATTTTATATAAATCTTACTTACCTCTTCAAGCTTCTTCTCAATCTCCTTAAAGACAAGACTTGCCTTAAACCCATCAGCTGCAGAGCTGGTTGGAGCAGCCTCAATCTGATGAGTTCTAAAAGAATTGGGAAATAAAAGAATTGGGGAAACGACTCAGTTTCAATCCATGGAATTATATAGGTACTAGGTTTTCCAACATTTATACAGTAGTAATTTTCAAAAACCCTAAAACCAGAGGTGTCGTGAATCTTACCCAAAGGAAACTGTTATTAAGCCTTTGTTTTACTTCCCATTTTTCCAACAAATATGCCGTGCTCACTAGGTGCAAGGCATTGTCCTTGAAAATACAGTAAACCAAAGAACCTACCCTCTGAAGTTTAAATGCTAGTGGGGGAGAGAGACAATGAACAAACGAAATAATAAAGAATATAGTTACTATGAAGAAAATAAAAGGCAGGTTAAGGAGATACAGAGAAAGTATATTTATGTGTGTTGGGTGTTCTATTTCAGATAGGCCTCTCTGAGGAGGTGAGAATTATGTCAATGAGCCAGCCATGTAAAGATCTAGGTAAGGAAGCCAGTTCTACAAAGAACTTGAAGTAGAAACCAGCTTGGCAGTTAAAGTAACTAAAAGAAGGCCAATGTGGCTGGAGCGGAGCAGAGTAGAAGGATCCAAGATCACAGAAACACGCAGGGCCAGGTAACAGGGGGCTTTATAGGTCATGGCTAGGAGTTCGGGTTTTATTTTAAATACAATGAGAAGGGCCGGCCTAGTGGCTCAGTTGGTTAAGAGCTCACTCAAGAGT